GTGAACAGTTTGTCTTTCTAATGCTCAGCACAGCAACTATAAGAGATTACGGCAACTGGTCAAAGGTTACTCACTTTGGAAGAAATTCTCCAAAAGCATTGGCATTGCCTGGCATTGAAGGCATGGTGAGGACAGTCAAGTGACAACAGTTTTGCTTGTCTCAGACAAGGTACATAATCCCATCCTCAAGTACTTTTTCTTCAGTTCGTCTGTCAGAGTCCAACAAGTGCTTTTATTCTGCAAGAGAACTGTACTGTTCCTTGACAGTGTGAGTTTCTATTCAGGAGCAAGATCAGGATCTGAGCCCCCAGGTCAATGCTCTCTTTCTAGTAGTGAGTGATACCACACCTCCGCTTAACCAGTAGATGGCAGAACTTAAATCTCTGTTTTGCTACTGAAATTGAAATTCAATAAACATTACGGTAATTCTGTGAAGATTTATTTTAAAATAGAAAATTAAGTAAATCAGTGCTAAGACCGGAAGCAAATTATGATATATTTGTTAAAATATGCCAACATAATTTCCTTTAGAGGATGCACAATCATCTAATTAAAGAGGGAGATGCAGCAGGTCACTTAGGTCAATAACCAGAACCCACTCTGGTATTTCTGAGATGTCTTCTGAGAGATATTACACTACATCTTTTCAGACTTGCACTACTGTTGTACAGCAACAATTCAACACAGCTTAAAACAGTTATGACTGACAATGAAATCTGGGCATGAACTCCTTTGTGAGCCGCCAAACAAATTTATTTTCCTGTACTCAGGACAAGCTGTAGCCCATAACCTGCAGGCTATCACACCGGTTCTCACACTCATTCACAGATGGCTTCCTGGAGTGAAACACCTTTACCAAGTGCTGAATTCATTTGAATATATAAATTCATATCATGCTCTGTAGGACATACTACATTAAATGATGTACCCTTAGGTGCTGCTTATGGGGACACAGCACTCCAGAACAAACCTCATCAGGCATTTTCATTATACTGCACAGAGCCAGGAAAAGCAGGAGGATACAGGCAGACACTTCTTTGGGATGACCACTTCAAAGGACAAACAGCTCTGGGTCCTCTAGGCTGACAATTCCATTTTATTGCCTCCCCCTCATCTCTGTCCTAGCTCAGTTAGAGACTGATTGCAGCAATCCTGTGACTGCAGCAATCATGTAATTGCTGCAACCTCAGTGATCAGCTGAGACTTCATGGAGGATTGCCACAACACAGAAGTCTACTGCCATATGTTAAGGCTTTATTGGCTGTAATAAGCTGAAAGCTGCCCCTTGGGAATTCAAAGTGTTTGTAACTTCTTGATAGGATCAGAAAGAGTGAAATATGTTCAGAGACAAAAAAATGAAGTCAGATAGGAATTAAACAGACATTATATGCTCCCTGGACTTCTAGGACACTGGTGAATAATCTTACAGAACATTCTAGAAGGAATCTGAGCTTTGACTGAGCTTCTGGTAAATGGATTTCAGTAAGACAGAAAGGACAAAGGACTGACACATAGTTCCTCATCTACTGTGAAATAATTTAATGAAAAATCCTAAAAACAGGAAGTCACGAGCAGTGGGATGTTCATGACTGCAGTTGTTGTTCCTATCTGAGTTCATTTTCACTGCAAGAACCGAAAGTAATTGTCTTTAACCCTGATTTAGCTCAGTGCATGATTGCCCAGGAAAACTCTTGGACATCCTTGCAATCTGATTCTAAAACCAAGAACCCATTTCAGTAAACATCTTCCTCACAAACAATGGATCTAATGTAGTTCTCACCTTCTAACAGACTTGGGAGAGAGGCAAATCCTAAAACAAACTTTAAGTTATTGTAAACTCATCCCCACTGGGAAGAAGGACAGCCTCAAATACTCATAATGTAAGTGTCAGCCTGCAATAACCTTCAGACAGCATTACCATAAACCCTTGAACAATCAGCCTGTCTTGCAATCCCCTGATGACCTCTGTGTCCTTATACAGAACCAACAGAGGCTGAAGCAGTTTTGCCTCTCTTTCTGTTGTATAAAATCTTCCCTCCTACCCCTCAACCTCAGAGGCCTTCCCTCCCCACAGAACAGAAAATACAAACCTTGCAGATATGCAGCGATAGAAGTCAGCCCTGATGTATGGATTTCCCATTTCTGTTGCTGACCTGTGATTTCACTAACCTTTGCTTTTTGCCCAGGAGACTTTAGGTTAATCAGATTTATCAGGTTAATCAGCAATTCCTTTGGTATGTAAGTATGAAGAATGTTATTCATGATTCAAAACTTAGTGACAGATGTGGGCCTTGGTTCTGTTAGAAAAAACAACAACAAAAATATCACAATCCTTTTTTTTTTTAAAGGAAGTGACCCAAAGAGTTATTATAGGACTTTATATCACAAAGAGGAACACAGTTGAAATGCTTTTATTACTATTAATTAAAAATATACAAAAATAAAAAAATCTATCCAATAATGAAATATCTGCAGTTCTAAGGAAAGCACTAAGAGGTTTTAGAAATTCTTTGGTTTTTCAGACCATCAGAGTCATCTACTATCTTGGGGTGTCCTGTAGAAAATATGGGCCTTCACCTTCAACAGCCAAACTACACACATGACTTTGTTCTACCAAACTCAATCTTGTGAGCCTCTCTGGCCAAAGATGTGAAAAGAATATTATTAATGAATGTCCAGTTCCATGTTAACCATGTGTTAAAGCAAATCCTATGTTCTAAAAACTAATTCAATTCTAAAAGGAGAATAAAAAAAAAAAAGTGCATTTGAATTAGAGCATGTGGTATTTGTGCTGAACGGAAAACAGGTCAACCTGGAAAAGATTTTGAACGATAACTCAAAAGTACTGTATGTTGTAGATTACAGGCCATTTAGAGGTATCAAGTCAGAGAACAGCAGGTTTAACTACAAGGGGCCCCAGAAGTCTTAACTGTTACAGTAAAATCAGTAGCAGATGTGCCAAAGCCAGGATTCAGTATTTAGTTAAAAAAAAAAATCCTACACAACCTGTCTTGTTGTCCAGACCATGGGGTCTTTACCACTGATTTCTCCTGGTCTGCCAGTTCCAGCTAGACAGTGTGTGTTGGCAGGAGGATCTGCCAGCAGAGGTTGGTGTGCAGGAATGCAACCCACAAACAACCAGGAGAGACACTGTGGGCATTTTCTGTGTTTCATCCTTCTTTCCAAGTAGAGCTCAGTACTCCCATTTTCACTCTTTGCATCAGTTTGCTCACCTGAGACTTGCTCCTCTGCAGCAAAGCCAGCAATCAACTCAGTTTGCTCTTAGCCTAAGTTTTCTTCAGGTAAAAAACAAAGCATTACTGGTCTTTTCCTTAACTCTCATTGGTTAGCATGTCCCCTAGCCACTGCCTTCCAAGAGCTTCCCCAGACTTGTAAGACATTTACATTCCTTCCATGCAACTTCCCTTTACTATGTATGCAATTATTTTCCTAGAATTACATGGGTTTTAGTTTACTTTGTTGCTAAGGAAACTTTCCTGTTTGACCATCCAGGAGCCACTCCGGCAGTCACACTTGCACCACGCGAGCTGGGACTAAGGTTCTTTTGCAGTGGCTGGCTCCAGTGAGCCCATGGGTGCCCCACTTGACTCCCTACACACCCTACTGTTACACAATCAGACCAGGTTTCCTCACCAGATTGACCCCAGGTTTTCCACACCAGAAGCCTCTGGATTCTTAAAATACTTTAATTATAGTGCAGCAACAAAATAACAACTCAAGCCGGGTGCTTTCTAGGAGAGATTTTGAGCAAAGCAAACCCTGGGTTTACCTGCACAGTTTAAAAGTCTGTGTGAAAGTCTGGGGTCTTCAGCTGACTTGTCAGCTCCTGCTGTGTCTCTGTGTCTGGTCACCTTGTCTGGCCCACAGGTCCCTGTGTCCTTTGTTATGCAAAGGGTCAGGCACCACCTGAACCTGCAGCTGGCACTGCAGCTGCACATCGAGCTACTTGCACTGAATGTACTTAACATTATTCAGGCCCAAACTGTACATCATTCTACTGGGGACACACTGGACACTGATGAACACTCCACAGCACTCGACCGTGGGGGTGATGTAAATAAGGTTCTCTAGGAATGTCCTGTACTCTGACATTGTTCTTCAGTATTGACGTCACGATATTGACCTTGACCAGTTTGTAAGTAAAAAGCTGTTTTTGCCAACAGCCAGGCCAGTGAGCTCTCCCCCAGCCCCAAGAAGCAACGTCAGGTCCCACTCCTATTGCACTGACGCAAGGATGAGGATGCAGTCCTGTGTGTCAGACAGTGTCCTGAGCAACGCCTGTTGTCTTTCAGGCCCAGGCCATATGAGGAGTGGCTGAGGTCACTTGGTCTGTTCAGCCTGGAGAAGATTGAGGGGAGACCTCATCACGGTCTACAACTTTGTTGTGAAAGGAAGAGGAGAGGCAGACACTGATCTCCTCTCTGGTGACCAGTGGCAGAACCTGAGGAAATGGCCTGAAGTTGTGCCAGGGGAGGTTTAGGTTGGATATTAGAAAGAGGTTCTTCACCCAGAGGGTGGTTGGGTGCTGGAACAGCCTCCCCAGGGAAGTGGTCACAGCACCAAGCCTGACAGAGTTCAAGAAGCATTTGGACAAAGATCTCGGGCAATGACTCCTGGGAACAGTCTTGTGCAGGGCCAGGAGACAATGACCCTTGTCAGTCCCTTCCAACTCAGCATACTCTGTGACTCTCTGACCCCTGGACTCTGAAGCCAGAGCAAGCTCACGGGCTCAGAGTATGTGGCACCTCCTGCACACCGCAGCCCGCACACGGAACAGCACAGCCCGCGCCCCGCAGCCCACGTTACAGCGCCCGTCCCTGAGGTGGCTCTGCCCGCAGCAGATCTGACCTTGACCTCGGTGCCACCCCCCTGCCCACCCTGCCCTCTGCACTGACAGCTCTTCCTCTCCTCCTCCCACATCCAGGGAGGGGCGCCGGTCGAGGAAGGCAGCGGCCCGCTGAGGGGCGAGCCGGGGCCAGGGCTGCGGGCAGGAAGGGGAAGCCCGCCCGCTCCGCGCCCCCGCCGTCCGGCTGACTGGCTGGCTGGCTGGCTGACTGGCTGCCCTCCCTCGCTTCCCGCCTCCCGCTCCGGCTGGCGGCCATCCCGCCGCGGCTCCGGCCTTGGGGCGCGGGGCGGGGCCCGCGCGCCACCGCCCCTTCCCTGCCTGCGCCCGGCGGCCCCTGACGGCGAGCGGCGGCGGTCTGGTGCTCCTCGCTCCCGGTGAGTGCGGGCCCGGCCGCCCCGCTGCGCTCCCGCCCGGTGCCGGCGGCTCGGGCGCCTGGGAGCCGCGTCCCCGGCCCCCCATTGCCCGGCGGTCCCGGAGAGAGGTGGCGGGGAGGGGGCGCCCCTCGGGGCAGAGCGGGGCCGGGTGCGGGGCCGGGTGCGGGCCCGGGCGGAGGGCGGGGACCGGCGGCTGGCAGGGCCCGGCGGCTCCCGCGGCGGGCGCTGGAAAGGGTCGCTATGTTCTGCGGGGGGAAGGCGGAGCGGCCCCTGAGGCACCATCTCGGAGAGGCGGCAGCAGCAGCTGCGTGGGCCCCCGCGGCTCCGGGCCCCGGCCGGCAGAAGTCGGGTCTCTCCAACGCCCGGCTTTGGGCCGGCTCACACAGGTACCGGGATCGGCTTTGGCAGAGCGGAAAGCGAGGAGTAGGTGTAGCTTGATGAGATGAGCGGGCGTGGAAGAGAAGTTGTGCTGCTCTGCCCTCATCTGAGTGAATTTTCCTGCTGGAACAACTCGAACCTTGTCTGTTGGTATTTCAGTAGTATCTAAGTAGTAGAGGATAGTGCATAGCGTACGTAGAAGGCACACAGCAACCCTGCTATGTTGCAGAAACCCCAATAGATCTGCAACGTAAGTGAGACAGGGAAGGCATGGAAGAAACTTATTGGAAAGTGAAGCCTGGAAAGTGTCAGGTTTTAAGTATTTTAGGAGACAAAATCGTCTGTTTTGGTACAGATTCATGGTACAGACAGCAGGTGCAGGTGCTCCATAACAGCTATGGAGGTTGTAGCCCAGATTGCAGCTATTTGCCTTCTAGTCTAACCTGACTGAGGACTGTGGCTGTGGAGATGCCTCGTTTCAGAATCGGGATCAGGTATATGTTTGGATTGGTCCCGTGTATCTTTCACCACATTGCCATGTTTCATAACACCACCATGGTTCCGTTTTATTTTTTAACTGAAAGTTGTACTTTGCTATTTAGTTTCCACCCCTAAAGCTATTGTAGGTGGGGGTGGGGGGAGGAGGAAGACGGAGAGGTCTGGACTTCGATATTCTTTAGTATCAGCAGGAAACTTGGTCTAAAACAGAGGATTCTCTCTCCAAACAATTGGAATTGAATTAATATCTCTGAGCACTCAGTGCTGTTGCTATTGTTCAGACTAGCTCTATCAATCCACAATACTTAAGTAAAGGAAGACCACCACAGAGAAATATTAACACTGGAATGTTTATTTAGTATTGCTTTGCTTAAAAGTGATTGTGCTCCATCAGAATGTCCTAATAAACTTCTGGGGATTGTTACTGCTTCAAAGAAAGTAAGAGGAATGTGATGGACACAGAGTGGGAAATGCAGCTGATTCTTGTGCCCTCCAGGATCTGTATGGTGTGAGAGGAATTATTTGAAAAATTATCAATACTTTACTTATCTTGAATCTTGTAAGATAGAGGAAATGCCTGAAGAAGCCAGAAATATACGTATGTATGAAGAAGTCTGATCATTAAGCTGTGCTTTGCAGACTATATCATGCAGACTACTGCTGAACTGAAAAAACTGTAGGGCTTTCAAGCTGCATTTTTTTGTCATATCACATTTGTAATTTAGCATCTTTTTTTCTCTCTGGTTCCTTTTGGCCCAAGGATGATACACTCTGACTTTGATACTATTCAATGAAGTTTTTATACTAATGATGGAAGAGCTGAAACAATAAATGTAGAAAATTAGAGAAGAAACCATATTTGAACAGTAAGAAGTGCAGCAAATCTCTTTCACTAAGTGTTTTCCAACGTAGACTGTCACAGTAGGATTTTACCATTTAAGAGCTGGAAATTTTCTCCCTCCTTGCAGTAACAATCCACTTAAACTAACTGGAAAGATATGATTTGAAGAGTGGTTCCTTTCCATCTTTTTAAATACAGAGGAGGCAGAGAGTCTGCTCCGTTTGTGTGAAAAGGAGGTAAGATTTTTTTCAGGGTTCTTGCCTTCAGTCCTGCCTTAGGGATTGGTTAGTTCAAAAGATTTTCTCTATGTATGTGGTGCTTCCTTGGAGGAACTGGGACATCCCACATTTGTAGGGTCAGGACTTGTGAAAGGGGGTGTTTAGTTTTCGTTGTTTGGGGTTTTTTCCCTCTATCTTTTTTGTGTGAAAACTGCTCCACAAAAGGTTGAATTAAAAGTGTTTTTTGGAAACTTAATTTGCCTCCTCATGGAGCCTGGCCAGTAAACCCTGCTAACAGCTACTTTGAATTTATGAAATTGTATCAGATACACGCTTGTTTGGCTCATAGACTGAAGCCATTGGTGTTTGAAAGCTGAATTCGTCTAGTGTGAATAGTTCAATAGCTACTGAGATTGAAAGCTACAGTTTTTGGTGTGAGAAAATTATCTGTATTTCCAGACCACAAATTCACAATTTGTCTTGAAACGGTGTGAAAAGTTAGGACTTCTTCCCCACAATGTCATACCATTTCATACATCCCCTCATCAGTTCTTTATCCTGAAAAGACTCCTTCTACCTGCATATCTCTGATAGCTTTGAAACAGTTCATATGGCAAGCTACAGAAAAAGGAGTTTTAAAGGTGCAGGGACAGTAGTTCGCAGAGCTGGTGTAATGGTAATGGCATGAGTAGAGAGCTGATTCACAATACTCGCCTTTTGTTTCCCCTTCCTATGCACCTCTGCAGTGTTTCTTCACCCTTCACGTGAGTCTTTTGAAACTAACAGACCAATGCTGAGATGTCTTTTAATCTGCCTGCTGAAATTGAACCCAAATTTCAGAGCAAACCTTTGTACACCGTTGTAGCACTCTCTGTATTCCAAATTTCTTGCAGTTGCTTCCATGCTGTTTCTGTTGTTTGTTTGTTGTTTTTTTTAACTAACACTGAAAGCTAGTTCTTTGTTAAAACTGGTCCAAGCTGCATAGTTGTTATTGAACAGTCTGAGGCTACTAACATAGGGTAAAAGAGGAGCAAGTTTGTACAGAGATAGGAAGTAGGTTAAAGTTCAAAGTTACCCTTTCAGGAAGAGGGAAAAAACCTTCAAGGCTTCATTTTTCGATGTTGGTAGTCTCCAGATAAGGTTCCCTGTATTCTCAGGCATACCACTGCTCATTTTTCTGCAGCAAAAAGGAAAATTAATCTCTGCTTTTTAACTGGGACACTCAGTGGTGAGTCTGCTGACACAGCACCCCCTTAACACTTACACCTCCTTAATTATGATCTGGATTTTGTTAAGACTAGATTGCATTCCAGAGGCTGTCGAGGATACTAGGCATGTGTGCTTGCCTAGGTTACCAAAAGCATGGTGAGATCTATAGCAGTGTTTTGACTGTCCCTCTAAGCCATAAGTGCACAGTAACTGCTAAAGTGAGGGAGGAGGTAGCGTTTGGCTTTCTGGAGGGATGACTTACATGAGTTTAATATCTACATCTTGGAACTGGGCATGCATCTAAACTTCCAGCTTGCTTGGAGCTGGAGTTACTTTAAGACCTAAAGGTTTCATTTTACAAGCTTGATCTCTGAATTGAATTTTCAGTCCCTACATGTGCAATATAGCACTGCTAACAAAGTGAAATTGTCAAAGTGCTTATGACAGCCTGTGAAATACATGAATTACAGGAATATGCAATTAGTAAGTAGCCTGTCCAGTGCATTGGAAGTGTTGCGCATTATCACTCTGAATAAATAAGTATTTCAGCATTGCAGTTTTGGCTATCAGCAGAAAGAAGTAAAGTCTGCAGCCCTGTTTCTTCAGTGTGAGTGACTGAGTTCCTCTTGAACATTAGAGTTGAAATGGGCTCCCTGAAACTTTGCCTAGAGATTGTTTAAAAAAACCTCCTTTATGTATTACTGCATTTTCTTCCAGTGTGGAATAATGGTGTAGTTTATACTAGCAGAACAGTTGCTCAGTCATCATATTGTTAAAGGACTTCTTTTTAAGGATCTACATGTAATGATCTACATGTAATGAAAAAACACAAAGATTCTTTCTCCGATCTCTGTTAGCACCGAAATCTCATCACTGACTGTTGACAGCAATACAACAGTGTATATTTTTTGCATAGTGGCCTCACCTGTCACAGGTAAAGTGTTAAACAGTAAGAGCTTCTCTGAATCACAAGAAACCTGTGTTTATTGCAACGGTAGTTGCACTCATCTGTTCTTTGCACATCCAGAAGTAATTATAGCATTTTATAATTTTATAAAACAAGACTCTACCTGTTCTAGTAGTGGTGTTGAAGTCTATGTGTGGGTTTAGGGTTTTCGTGGCTTTTTGGTGGGGTTTTTTTCCATTTTTTGGTGGGTGGGGGTTTTTGTTGTGTTGTCTTTGTCCATTGGTACATTGGTCCGTCGGTACATTTCCCCTGGGTAACAGAAGCATTTTTCTTAGGCAACTTGGATATTTAAACTAAAAATATTTTCTACAAATATACAAATATATTTATTAGGGTTTTTTTCCCCAACTGAACTGAATTATGGATGGATTTACTTACCAAAATTTTATTCCTGCAGACATCTGAGTAGTATTGGAGAGGTTGCCTTTCCATATCAAAAATGCAGACTTCTGTCAACATGCTTAACCTGTGTATTTTCCTTCCTTGGTTTTCAGGGAAGGTAGGCATACACAGAGCATGCTGCAATTCCAATAGAACAGAAGTTCCTACATGCCAGACCTGCTAGATCTTTGTTCATGGCTAAACCATTTGAAACCTCTGTAAACTGGAAGTAGTCATCAGTCATTATTTTTAATGAAGGCCCATTGCTGAGTAGAATGTGAAACCATGAGAAGTTTTAGAGGCTCAGGGGAACTGAGCAATAGCCCTTAATTTGACAAGTGCTGTTCAGATATATGTAACTGCTAGTAGTGTCACGAAGTGCATGCTCAATATTGTGATGATGAATTTACAGCTCAGTAACCCACTGCTCTGCTGCAGCTTCCTTTAGATTTTCTTAGTTACTTTTTACTTTTTGCTTTTTGGAGGTGCTTGTTGCATACTTGGCAGC